CCACAGTAAAAGCTGATGCGAAATATTTATTTAGTATCTCTTCCCCTCTCCGAGATTCAGCACATGACTTCTTTGACCTTTAAGGGCGCTACTCTCTCTTTGCTTTCTTGCTCTTCATGTACTTGTAGAATCTCTTTTTAGGTTATCCTTAACGTTGTCTGCCAAGGCTAGCTCATCCCCTCTTTGCCTTTCTGATCTCCCTCTTAAGAATGTCCCTACACTCTCTTTGCCGTTCAAGAGATTCATTTGATACCTGGACTTTAGGGTTAAGTTTTATGAGGAGAGATTATATAAAGTAAACCTATTTTCTCTAGGATTTAGAAAGTTGAGGTGATCTGATCAGTCTTCAAGATATTAACTGGATAAGAAAACAGGGTAGATAAAGATAAACTATTTCCACTGTTTGGAGATTCTGGAACTAGGTGCATAGATTTAGTGTTAAAGACTAAACCATTCAGGCGAGCTATTAGGAAGCACATCTACACCCAACAAATACTGGAGGCTTGGGACTCTTCCATAAATGGCAGTGGATGCTGGATCAGTTATTAGTTTTAAATCAGAAGTAGATATTCTTCTGTTAAGCAAAGGGGTATTAAGGGATATGGGCCAAAGAAAGATCTATGGATTTAAGCCACGGATCTCGTTAAATCGCAGAACAGGCTGAAGGTGTTGAATGGCCTACCCCTGTTCCTAGGAAACCAGAAAAGATTGATTCAATAATCTGAATGATCTTGTAGCAAAGGTGCTGTAGGTAGCAGCCGTTTCAAAATATCACTGATTTTTACATTTTGTTTGAGGGAGATAAGAGTGTATCCAAGATAATGCTTCAAAACAGAATTAGATATGGAGACATGAGGGTATGAAAACAACACTCGCTAAATTGCATTGGCAAATTTAGATTAAAGGATAGGTTAATAGAGATGCAGTGGCAGACATTTGAGGTGATATTTCACATACACAGCTTAGCTACATTTCAATGAGTAATAAAAATTCCAAGGAATGGACTCCCATTTGTGGTTAACTAAAAATTTTAAAAATAGTAACCAACCTTTTTCAAAAAAAAGTATATAATTCTCCAGTGACAGGTAGTGGGTCAGAAATCTGGAGAGAATATAAAATGCAACAAAAATGACAAAAAATTGAGGATGGAAAATTAGAGTAGAATTGAAAGCTAGCCAAAAATGCACTTTTAAGAAGGCTCAAAAAATATTTAGTGGAAGAGTTAAGAAGGTGAGCAATAGTCCTACAGAAAGTGAGACTGGAGAATTGATTATGAAAATGGCAGATTAATTGAACTGATTCTTTGCATCAGTCTTCACTATAGTTATTTTAATCAACTAATTGGACATGCCATGATAAATCTCCAGGGCAGGTGGGACTTTGACCCGGATCTTCTGGCTCAGAGGTGGGCACGCTACTTCTATACCACAAGAGGCTCAGTCTTCATAACAGAACATACAAATAACGTTCCAGCGGCTGAAATGAAAAGGAGGGAGGAACTTAGGAAACACACAATCACCAGGGAAATGATACGGAGTACACTACTGGAACTGCAGGCTGACAAGTGCCTGGGTCCTGATGGGTCTTAAAAGAAGTGACTAGTGAGATAGATGATGTATTGGTTTTGATTTTCCAGAACACTCTTGATTCGTGGACAGTTCCATTAGATTGGAAGGTAATGAATGTAACTCTTTTTTAATAAAAAGGAGAGAGAGAAAACAAGAAATAACAGGCCATTAAGCTTCATATCTGTTATAGGGAAAATGTAAGAATCTATTATGAGATGTTATAACTGGGCACTTGGATAAGTTCACGATAATCAGGCAGAGCCAACATAGCTTTGCGAAAAGGAAATTGTGTTGAGCAATCTGTTGGAGTTCTTAGAGGCAGCACAGGCTGTGTATGACGGGAAACTGGTGGCTGCACTGTACTTGTATTTCCAGAACCCATTTGAGCTACACCAAAGCTTATTATGGAAAATAAAAGCTTATGGTGTAAGGGGTAGCATGTTGGCATGGATGAAAAATTGGCTGACTAACAGGAAACAGTAGCTGAAGTCTTTTTTTAAGGTTGTCAAGATGTAATGAGTGGTATACCACAGGGATCAATACTGGACCTCAACTGTTTACTATTTATATAAATGACTTGGATGGTGGGTTTGTTACTGCTGATACAAGGATAGATAGGAAAGTAAGTTGTGAAGAGGACACGAGGTTGAGTGGGCAAAAATATGGCAAATAATATGTGAAAATGAAATTGTTCATGTTGGCAGGATGAATAAAAAAGCATATTATCTAACTGGTGAGATTGCAGAGCTCTGAGGTGCAGGGCATCTGGATTATTCTATTGCATGAATCTATTGCAAAAGATTAATATGCAGACATAGCAAGAAATTAAAATTGAATCAAATATTACCATGTATCATGATTGGAATTGAATTCAAAAAGTAGGCAGGTTATGCTTCAGTTCTACAGGACAGTGATGAGACTGCATCTGGATTACTTTGTATGATGTTGGCCATTTTATTTAGGGAAGGATGTAAATGCACTGGAGGCAGCTCATAGACTTACTAAACTAATGCTGGCCATGAAGAAAGGTTGGGCAGGCTAAGATTGAATCTGCTGGAGCATAGAAGAGTCAGAGGTGACTATTGAAACATAAGATCCTGAGGGATCTTGACAGGGTAGATGTGAAGAATGATGCTTGTGTGGGAGAATCTAAACTGTTTAAAAGCAGGGGCCTTTAAAACGAGGTGTGACTTTTTTTTTCCCCTCCAAGAGTTGCGCATCTTTCGAACTCTGCTTTCACCACTTTTTCAAGAAAACCATCCTTAAATATTTTTAAGGTAGAGACAGAAGGATTCTTGTTAACTTTTTATCCTTTTATTTATCAGGATGAGATTGCAATCAGATCAGCTATGATTTTCTAAAAGCCTCAAGGGACCAAATAGTGCACTTCTACTCCTAGTTTGTATGTTTGTGTGAGGTGTGCCTACAAGACTGAATATGTGCAAAGGAAACTACAAACTATGACAGAGACACACTCTGCAGAATGACTATCAACAGTCTTGGAATGACTGAGCAATTCTTGATGTGATTGAATTATTTTCTCAGGCCTCAGTGATCCACTGGCAAGGAATTCAAAACTGGCTCAATCAAACAACTGGAACAAAAGAAGGGCAGAGAATGTGTTGTTGCCATTTGTCAGCATTGTGTTCAAGGATGACCAGATCAAAGCCCAGTCTACTGGGCATGAAGTACTTTTAGCATTGACAGCATTTCACAATTGTCAATGACTTGGTATTTAATGAAAAATTGGTCATTCCAGTTTCACTGTTGGTCAGCCTCCTAGACAACTGCATCAGGTACACTTGGACATTACCAAGTACAAAGCTGGTGTAAGCGTGTTGGCCAGGGATTTCCAAGGAAATGGATGATCTCCTAAGTGATGGTGCAATTTGGACTATTGACAGACTCTGAGCTGACCGAGCTACTGATACCCACTATATTTCCCACCAAACCACTGAAGCAAATGAGAATTGACCTGTTTGTTCAATGGATGGTTTTGTATTATTGCTGTTGACTATTTCTCATGGTAGATTATAGGGTTTTTAAAAAAAAAAAGTTATCCTCCACCAACACCACAGAAACAGTTGTCAGGATTGTGCATGAAATTTTCACTATACATGGGATCCCTGAGATGGATGTGTCAGACATTGGCCCACAGTTTGCTAACAAATATTTCAGCCAATTCGCAGCCACTTCAGATTGGAATGTGTAACCAGCTTGCTGAGATACCCAGTCTGATGAGAAAGTTGAGTGTGGGGTCCAGACAGACAAGTCCCTTTTGAAGGAAAATGCTGACTTTTATACAGCATTGTTAAATTACCCATTCATCCCTACTCCAGTGTGGCTTATTGCTACCAGAATTGCTGAAGGCATGAAACAGGAGACTCCATTCCCTATCCTTCCAGGGAGGTTGGTACTGTAGTTGAGTCCATGGGACTATATTTTTAAAAAAAAAAAAAAAAAATTTGCCAAAAAAAAATCAGTCTTAACCAGACAGCAGGCTGCTAACTACAAAATGTATCATTTGCATAATGGCTACCACACTTGGGCACAGGGTATGAGGTATAGATAACAACAGACATCTGTAGCAATGGTACAGATGTCCCAAGATTCAGTAGACTAGCAATGATCATATGTTGTCTATATAGTTGAGGACATTGTTTTGGAGAAATTTCAGGAAACTTGTCTCGATCTTCCCCATTGTTATGAGACTTCGGAATGGACATTCCATATGTTAGAGTTGATCTTCCTCTGCATCTTCTCTGTAGGTGTAATACTGTTTTGTATTCTGTTCTATAACCTTGATATACTTGTGTATGATTTGACTGGATAGCACATAAAACAATACTTTTCACTGTATCTTAGTACATGTGACAATAATAAATCAAATCAATCATCCAATAACACTTGATTGGGAATGAACCCAGATTGGAACAACATGATGGTAACAGTTTGCAGACCAATACGTCAAGATCAGAATTGAGGCCATAGTTCACAAGCAAAAGAATTACCAATCTCTAAGTCCTAAAGAGAATGCATTCTGGAAGATTTGTGAAATCTCCAGATTGCCTGAATTCATGAAGTCACAGACCCATGCAGGGAGAGTGTGGAAGGTCAGGCAGCGATAACTGTACAGGTAATAGCATGAATTTATAAATTTTAACTATAGGTTTCAAAACAAAACATTGTGGAAATGTTATATTGAGTTATGGTTTTGGAAGAGTTGATGATGATGAAGTTGCATTAAGCTCCACTCAGTCTATGGGTGGAATCTTGGGGAATTGTGCACAACGCTCCAATGGAGATAGACATGATATCTGTGGCACCTGATAGTCTTGTAATTATATCTAACATGACAAAGAAATTTCTACTGATTGTCATCGTGCAATAACCTGCTCTTGTTACATAAAACAAAGGCATTTTCTTTTTAAGACTCATCAGTGATCTAATCTCTGAGATGCCTTACTGGGATATCACACTGGAAATCAAGCCCCCACCTATTCCTGGAGTCATCTTGAAAGGTAAAGATCTTATCAAAGTAGGCACTTGTCTCCCTGTTTACCTGTCTGCTTAGATCCAGGTGAAGAAAACGCAGACCAGGTTTTGTACTTAACAAGAATTACTATTTATTATAAACAAATTTAATTTTTATCTGTAGCTAGAATCTATGGACTGTGACATATCTCTACTAGCTAAAGCTCAAGCCCTCTTATAAAGCTCCTATATATATGTAACACAGATACACCCACTAATATTGGTTTTATTGGTGTCAGGACAAACTGAAGATAATTCAATGGCTCCTGTCCACAGGGTCCACTGAGGTGGTCCTTAGTTTCCACGATTTGTTGTTTGCCAGTCTCTCTTCTTCAGATACTCCCTTGAAAGAACGTCTGAGCAACTCAGTCACAAATTATTAAATCTGTGCCATATTTGTTAAAAGCAACTGCTTGAAGCAACTTGTGGAAGAAAATAAACAAACTGGCTTTATTCAGGCTTTAGGATTTTTAACTGCAGGGAGAGAAAGACAGTCACCACCTCCCCTTCAGAAGTCTGAAAGTTAATGGCCAAATCATTTAACATTTACTTTTAAGAATGCCACCAATTCTCCTTTCCAATGTGTCTCAACCACCCAGTGACCAGTAACAAGGAAGGCCATTAAACTGCTCAGGAAAAGCAACTTTCCTAGCTCCACCATCCATCACTTTTCCCAGGACCCTTCCAGTTCTTTTCTGTTCTGATAATTGTCTAATTCTCTCTTCAGAGCCTTAAGTGAATCTGCATGCACTACACAAGTGCACTCAGATCCTAACACCTGCATTTTCTTTTTAAAAAAAAAAAAAAAAAAAATGGGGTTTTCCTCATGTCACTTTCTTCTTTTCCTAATCACCTTCAATTGTGTCCACTGGTTCCAGATAATTAGTGACAATTTTAGCAGTGACAATTTTAGCTGTAACAATTTAGTGGATTACTCAGTCCTGCAATCAATATACAAGAGCCGAAAAGGAATCACAACCTCTTCAGTCTTTCTTGACTGATGTGAGCTTTCAGTTCATCATTTCTGTAAATTTTCCATCTTTTCCAGTAATTTCTGTCCAAAACTACATTTTGAAAAATATGATCTACGGTTAAAAATCAATGGTAGCATCTATCTATCCTGCCCTGTGGTTTAGAAAGGCAGAATGATGGATGCACCCAAAAATGGTGCCATGGGGCCTTTTTACATCCACCTGAAAGGGAAGTTGGCACCTCATTTCAAAGTTTCACCTGAAAGACAGCACCTCCAACAATGCAGTGCTCCCTCACTACAGCACTGGAATGTTAGCCTTGAGTCTTGTAATCAAATCTTGGAGAAAGATTAAGACTAAAGCATACAACCTTGTTATTCTGAGTGGACAAAAAGATTCTGGATTGCATGGTGCTATAATTAAAATTGTTGTTTATTTACTGCATAATGACAGTGCTTAGTGCTTATTTTTGTATTATTGTGATTTTAAAAATAGATGTTTTTATATTTATTGATCTTTAATTGAGAGTATTTTGCAAGTTTGCAACAAATTTGGATTTTTTTTTAATTGCTTAAAGAAAGCAAATGATATCAGCAGGCAGCTGTCAGCATGAGGTCCCAGTGCTGATGAATGACTCTGCCTGTTGTCAGCTTGCTCACCCAGGCTGGGCTTTCGCTGTGCTCCAGTTAAGATCTGCAACAGGTGGTGTTAGTCTGGTTAGCAGCTGTTCAGAATGAGAGATGCTAAAGAAGGACTGCCTGTAAAAATAATTTCTTCACAATGCCCTTTGCAGCTATTCAGTTAGGAACCAGCTACATGTGCCTTGTATCAGAACGCTCTGATGTGTTAAAACTGCTGATCACAACATAATTTGTTTAAGGACCTCCTAATTGTAGCTTGGGTTTCAACAAAGAGCAATATTGGGTGTTTGAAAATTTCATACTGTGCCTGTTCTGAAGAGCATTCAGAAGTATAACTATAGATTGTTATCAAATTTCTGCTATTGGAAGAGAGCATTTTTTAGGTTATATAGGGTGGCACACTATTGGGAGCCAGTTACAGAACTTTGAAGAGTTGTACCTGAGGATTTCTTTAACCTTCCAGGGTACTGTGATGATTCACTGGACAATCTCATTGCATAAAAAACATATATTCTATAATCTATCCCTTCATCTCTGCTGTACTACATGACACAAAAAACATTTACTAAAACTAACATCATTAACTTCACAAGGGTATTCATGTCTAATACCAGGATCCAAGAATGGCATTAGTTCCCTCACTCTTTAAGGATTTGTGCCACAACGTATATTTGTACAGTTCCTTTAATATTACAAAATGTTCCAAAACCCACTTTTTTGATCTTCATCCAAAGGGTGATGGAAATCTGGAAAGTACTGCCATGGAGGGTGGTTAGAGCAAGAAACATCAACCTAAATACTTGGATGAACACTTGAAATGTCATAACATTGAGGCTTAGGGCCAAATGCTGCAAAATGGGACACATTATAGGGTATGTTTTGTCAGTGCAAATGTGCTAGGCCAAAAGACCTCTTGTGTACTCTATGATTCTAAGGAGTACAGACAGGAAAATGGGGATCAGCTGGGATCTTAATGACCGAACAAGCTCAATTACTGAATGGCCTACTCCTCCTCTCTCTTGTCTTTTTATAGTGTTGAAACCGATAACCTCACATTTTCCCATATTGTACTTGACCTTCCATCCTGTTGCCAATTCATAATTTGTCTGGACAATTTGCATATTTTTGCCTGAGTTTTCCTGTGGTGTCATGATCTCCATGTCAAGAATGTTTGCAGGTCCCAAGCCCATGTATAGCTTCAGCATGTACCTGCCAGTTTGACTTTGAGACAGCTTCCTCATTAATCACCTCCACCTTTGCTGTCCAATTAAGAACATTGGGTGGTCCAGGGAAGCATGTGGCCTAATTGGAAGGCCTTCAGCAGTCCCCAAGTGGCAGCATCACAGATGAGCACTGCTTGAGAAGAGGGAAAACTTGACAGGACAGTGCAAGAAGTGCACACAAAGGTCTCCTTGTTAAGTTGTGAAAACTATGGCAAAGTCCTATGAAGGGCTGTCCCTCCAGCGACAGCTCTGGACACCAGCAAGCATTACACCCCCCTAATCTTGCCAATTAGTTCTGCCACCCATGATTACTGAACTCCAGAGGGAGTTTGGTTCCTGAAGGATAGGATAGGATCTTGTAACTCAAGAGTTACAGTGGAGGGAGAGAATGACTTTGATTGGAGCCTCAAGTGATGGAATTGTCTGTCACTCGTCCTTTCCATAGAGCAGATTGCCGTGTGAGTGGTCACAGAAATTGGCAAAGTTGCCAGAGGCATTGGCAGCATCTGGGATCTGACCTGATGGAGATTCCTATTCCATTCCTGGCCTATCAGCCTCCAAACCCTTTTCCAAGGGCTTAGGAAGATTGCTTTCCTTGTTTTCCTTTAGCTAGCATTTGAATCAGCAGCAAATTAGATACATTACACTTTTTTCTATTTTTATAAATTATAGGTTACAAATCATGAGGCACCAGTGCTGGTTCTTGTGACAACCCATTAGTAGCAGCCTGCCATCTTAAAATGTTCCTTTTTATTCCCACTGCTCTTTTTCTGTGTTTTAACAAATCCCCTATTCATACTGATGTAAATCCCTTCCCAGTCAATGAGCCTACATCTTGCAGCATCAATGGAAAGAGGGAAATAGTTAATATTTCAAATCGATGGCCTACAATCAAACTAGTAAAAAAAGATTTAACTAGTTTTAAACAAATCCACATCTAGGAAAAGGTGGAGAGAGGATAAAGAACAAAAAGGAAAATCTGGGGTCGGGTGGAATTTCAATAGACTGTTGAACCAAGGACTGATGGTGCAAGGTAAGGTGACAGAACAAGTAAAACAAAAACCCATCTAGAGGTGATACAAATATAAAACAGAATGATCAATGGGTAGCTGCTGTTTAGGTTAGATGGGCTTCAGATTGGTTTCACAGGTCGGCGCAACATCGAGGGCCGAAGGGCCTGTACTGCGCTGTTATGTTCTATGTAAACTATATATGTGAGGGATAAATTTTAATCTGAAATTAACTCCATCTTGAATCTGGAAAGCTGTAGAGTATATAAGTGTAGGCTTTATTGGTCTTCCTATAATGGTATAATATAGGGAGACAATGACAGGTCAAAGTGGAGTGTATTAGGGAATTAAAATGATGGAGAACCAAAAGTTTTTGGGATCATGCTCAAGGAGTAAACCAGAGAGTGCCACATGGTTTTGCAATCTGTTCTGCCTCCCCAACAGAGATGACTGTATTGAGTGGTGAATGCAGTTTGCTGAATTGAAGAAAGTCCAAATAAATTGCTACTTCAACTGGCAGGATGTTGGGCCTTGAACAGTGAGGGGGTTAAGACAGAGATAGATCCTTAATTAGTAAGGGGATCAAGTGTCACAGGGAAAAGGCAGGAGAATGGGATTAAGAAACATCAGACATGATTGATGGACCAAATGGCCTAATTCTGACCCTTTGCCTCTTTTGTAATGTCTTCCCTGGTTGATTCCATGATGTATTATTTGAAGTTATCTTGATTGGATTCCACAAATTTGTCTCCAGCCTACTTTCTGCCAAATTGATTTTTCCACAATGACAGTTAGAATTATTGTCACGTGTACTCAAGTACAGGATACAAAAGTGTACGATGTCGCCATACATCACGCCATTTTGGGTACAAAATATCTAGGTACAAAATCTTAATTACAGAAATAGAAAAATAAAGTAAAAGATGGTATTTATATTTCTTTACAAGCACAGGTAGTGCAGAGACTTCCACATTTCTCTCTCAATTCTGCCTTTGTATTTGACTCGGAGGATATAATTGTTACAGCATTTGATAGTGGAATGATTTGGTCGTAATTGAGAATTCCATTCCCCTTTCATCATTAGAGTGAAATGCAGTAAAATAAAAGGCCCCCTGCAAACACTTGTTGCATTGCTGCAGAAATTCTCAATGGGGGACACTTCCTGTTTTCAAGAAGCTGAGTTCTTGGAATGTCAAAGTGGGTAGATAGGTAGAAAGCTGGAAGTTAGAACGTTTTCACTTATTCCATTAAATACAGAAAGGCTCATGGCCAATTTTTAAGGCAAGGAGCTGAATTGTGAAATGACAAAATCTCCTCTTGGATCCCATGCTGGCCTGCATTATTTAAAATAAATCACTGTTAGTAGAACAAAGTAAAGTCAAGCCCACTGGTAGCAGAGCTCACCTCAGTGGGCTTGCTGCTGGCTGACTTAGTAAAGATTAACATGATGGGGAGAGGAATTGGTGGACTTGGCCACAATGGTCTGGGTTTTTTTTCCTTTGTTTTTAACTTCTCTTCTTCTTTCTTTTTATCTTTCTTTTCTTTTGGAGCCTTTGCGATGGGTTGATTAGTGAAATTTGCATGGCAACGAGAGTGGTCTGTGTGCTGAATGACAGCTCCACCTGGTAGTCGGAGGCAGTGGGGGATGTGGTACCTCATGGTGACTGAAAGTGGCAGCAGCAAGCATGTCCTCCCAGTATTTGGGACTGGTAGTAGTAGCAGCAGCAAAGCTCCACCAGCAACCAAGCATGGTGGCAGTAACAGACTTTAAGATGGCGGTGCTGGCAAGGCGACATCTCTGGAGGGTAGCTGAAGCAGGTCTCTTGGCAAGACAGCAGCAGCCTGGTCTGGCAGTGTGGTTGGGGACTCCTGGTTGTGACAGTCCCAGACCAGAGACTCTCCTCATTGGTGAGGCAGCGGCAGCAGTGTGGTGTGCCATGAGCCGGGAGTCCTGGAATCAGGGTGGCAGTGGAGCTAGGGAGTCCTGGTTCTAGGGACAGTGTGGGTTCAGTACAGGACCTGGCATTGGAGGCAAGTTCAGCGAGGTGGGCCCTGTGGCAAAGATGGCGCCTAAAGTTTGGCGACTCCTACATTGGTCAGGCAGCAGTAAGGCAGTGGAGGAGGGATGACTGTGCAGGTGGTGTTGGTGAGCTGGTTCTTTCGGTTATATAGTGTCATTATAGTCACAGATGTACAACAAGGTAACAGACACTTCAGTCCAACTTGTCCATACTAACTAGATATCCTAAATAAATCTAGTCCCATTTGGCCCATATCCCTCTAAGCCCTTCCTATTCATATACCCATCCAGATGCCTTTTTAAATGTTGTAATTTGTCCTTTTCAAAGTGCCTTTTGTTTTGATCTTTCCCCCAAAAGTTCCAAAACAACACAACAGCTTATAATAGTAACTACTGCTCCTAGAATTCAAGGAAATCGGCTCCAACACTGACAATACTTCAAAACGAGCAGCTCTTACAACTACAACTTTTTCCCATCCTCCATCTTAGAGTACCTTCTTTTAACCTTTTTATTTTTGAACTATTCAAAACTGTGCCAGATTGTGGTGACTGTTGAAGCTTTTCACTGTATTTTACTATATTAGTCACTGTAGAATACAAGTGACAAATCATCATCATTAAAGAAAAATCCTCATCAGATATTTGCAGTTTGCTAATATTTGAGTATTCTCCAAGAAGTCTTTCATGTTAATAGAAAATTATTTCCCCCTTTATTTCATACACTTTGGTGTTTTCAGTGAATGCTGCTCCCTATATGTGTGAAGAATTGTTAATGTACTTTCCTGATACACAGTTGTTACATTGTCTCCCCATCCAATGACCAGTCTCTCGATTGTTAATCCAGGCACCCCAGGTAATGTTCTGGGACCTGGGTTCAAATGCTGTCATGGCAAATGGGAATTGAATTCAACAAAAATCAGGAAAACCTAGTGATGACATAACTCAACTGTCAGGAAAAAGCCACCTGGATCACTAATGTCCTTTAGGGAAGGAAACTGCCATCCTTACCTGGTCTGGCCTACATGTGACTCCAGACCCACAGCAATTGGTTGAGTTTTAATTGCCCCATCAGCAATAAGGAATGGCCATTAGGCTGTGTCGTTTGATGCTTTCATCCCATGAATGATTTTTAAAAATTCATTTTTCTCCTGACTCTGCATGTAGCTGTGCAATTCCAGAATAAACCTAACCATATGGGAATGAACGTCAGGAGATACACTGGTCTGTGATCAAGATCAGCAGTACATGTTGAGGGTTAAAATAGAAATTTATTCCAAGAACAATTATTTGGCTGATAATTTCCTACCTCCCAATAAAGATTTGTGCATCTTCTTTTGTTTTAAAAGTGCACTAATATCTATTTCTCTCCTTCATTGCCCTTCCCAATCATTGACTTTTTCTTCCCTTCTTCATTTATGCTCCATCTACAAGTTAATTACAGAATTCTTTTTAGATTGAGAACAGAAGAACTCCAATGGAGAAGAAATAAAAATAACCCCAGTGACATCATAGCAGCTGAACTGTGTGATGATTACTGTGCCCCTAACTAGTCCAATAAAGTAGCAAACATCCATTTCAGGTTGAGGTGCATCACTTCAGATTTATTCACCAATTCCTAAATTGCATCTTTTTTCCACCTCAGATGTGCTGTGCTGTCCTCCAAGCTGAAGCTTGGAGACCCCAGACCGTTAAAATAGAGACAAACGGTTGGAGCAAGGGCACCAGCCCTAACCACAACTCTGAGACAATGAGTGACTCAATTGAGAAGAATTTGGATAATGATGCAGAGGGTGTGTGGAGTCCTGACATCGAGCAAAGTTTCCAGGAAGCTTTAGCCATTTACCCACCATGTGGCAGGCGAAAAATTATCCTATCGGATGAAGGAAAAATGTATGGTGAGTGACAGTTGCTTTGATTTCAAGGTGTAAAATGCCAGCTGTGCTCTAACACTGATTCCAGTCTTTTTATTGCTTCTGCTGAAATGAAGTATTATTCAATCTGTTAGTCTCATTCAGAGTACTAACTTTACTCAAAAAAAAACTTTCAAAGCAACCAGGTTTAAAGTATTTAAATTGACAGCCAGGCAGTGTTCTCTCTAAATTTGCTTTGTACTGCATGGGTTGTAGATACCTTTTAAGCACTCTTTATTTTGCTTGTCTATGAGCAGCTTCCACTTTAAAAATGACCGAACTTTCACAAACCTGAGTAGCTTCTTTATTTCAATGTATGGTACATTCCAGACTGCTGCATGCCCTGGCATCTTAGTAGGAATGTTGCTCCCAGGCCAGTTCAGATATTTGTGTTCTGCATGAAAATAAATGAAGCCACTTGAAAATATAGTAACATCATCCAATCCACCATCTACATGAATGTGGGAGGAAGATTTGATGTGAAGGATTTCCAGCAGGATAGACCTGAAGATTTCTGATTTTAAATGGTAATAATTCTGCATTGTATATTTCCCTTTCATGAAGTTTCTTATGTCCATGAACTTCTATGAAAGGGATATTTGCACTTAGAAGCACCAATTTTGAAAGTAAATATTTCTGTTTATTTTCTCTGTTTAAATCAAACAATTAGAATCAAAGTTTTGTAGTTGGATTAATCTCACTTATGTCAATTCTCCTGTGACTGCTAAGGAAATAGCAGAACATTTGGAAAATCATAAAGCTGATTCTGCTCAATTAGATTATGAAAAGGAAATCAAGTCCAACTGATTTAAGGAGAGCCAGTAGATGTGATGTTGGACTTCCAGAAGGCATTCAATAAGGTATCTGTCCAAAAGGTTAAGCCATAACATAAGCGCCATGGTATTGGAGATAGTATATTGGCGTGGAGAGAGAATTGGTTCGTGGGCAGGAAACAGCAAATGGAGATAATGGGTTCTTTTCAGGTTGGTAACACACAAGTAAGTGCGGTTCCACAGGGGTCAGTGCTGGGGCAGCAACTGTTTGCAACATATATTAATGATTTGGAGGAAGGAAGTGAATGTATTGTAGACAAATTTGCAGATGATGCAAAAATAGGTGGAAAGGCAGGTTGTAAGAGGGATGCAAACAGTCTAGAGAGAAATTGGTAGGTTAATCAAGTGGGCAGAAGGTTGGCAAATACAGTATAATGTAGGAAAATGTGAAATTGTTCATTTTGGAAGGGAGAACAAAAGAACAGTATTATTTAGGTGGAGAAAGCTGCAACAGAAAGGGACTTGAGATGGTTGTGCATGAAGCATGCAGGGGTAGCAGCTAGTTAGGAAGGTTAACGAATGTTGGCCCTTTATTTCTAGGGGGTTGAGTATGAGAGTAGAGGGGTGTTGCTGCGACTGTATCAGGTGCTGGTGAGACCACATCTGGAGTACTGTGAGCAGTTTTGGTCCCTGTATTTAAGGAAAGATTTCCATTTAATTAGAGGCAGTTTGGAGAAAGTTCACTAGGCTGATTCCAGGTATGGAGGGATTGTCTTGTGAGCAAAGTCTAAGCAGAATGAATGGTGATCTCATTGAAACATATAGGATTCTTAAGGGGCTTGACAGGAGAGATACTGAGAGGATGTTTCCCCTCATGGGAGAGTCTAGGACCAGTGGCCTTAATCTCAGAATAAAGGGGTTAAGATTGAGTTGAGGAATTTCCCTTCTCCTAGGATTGAGAGTCTTTGGAACTCCTTGCCACAGCTGTGGTGGCAAAGTTCTGCATATTTTAAGGCTGAGAGGGATAGATTCTTGCCCAGTAGGGGAATTGAGGATTACAGGGAAGGGGCGGGAAAGTGAGGAGTGTCAGATCAGCCATGTTTTTATTGACTGGCCGAGTAGGCTTGAAGGGCTTAATGACCTGCTGTTCCTATTTCTTCTGATCTTATGGATATCTGTGGTAACTGGGTATGGTCAGAACTCTAGATCCCTGTGATCTAATAACATACTGAATTCAAGAACGTAGTCTTCAGGAATGATTTTATTTGAATAAAGCACCAGCACTGATGGAGTAATACCTCAGGAGGATTAAAGCAAAGAGAAGAAATGTAGTTCAATAAATGCAATAAAAAGAAAGTTCATGCTAGCCACAAGCCCTTCTCCAAGAAGTCCGTGAAAAGGAGCCAATGATTTTTATCTATGGTAGAGATAATTGTGCAAACAACTAAGTCCAGGCAAAGTGACTCAATAAGAAGGAGCCAATTGAGGCTCCTATCTAAATGTTTGCTTCAGTAATGTTGTTCGATAGTAGTTTGGTAACTCTCATCTTGTGAACTGCGCATTGCAATACTCGAGAATGCATGCTTAAGGGGAAAGATAACACTTATACTGCATGAAAGGAGAGTGATGGTTGGTTGGAAATTGCGAAAGGAATATGCTGTTTGATGTGATCCACTAGTCCTATGTATTCAATAAGTAAATAACACCTCTGAACAAACAGATTAGAAAATATCTAGAATGCGTATAGACCTGCCTCTATGCTGGAAGGTCCAGCATAAAGTACTACCTGTCCAAACATGTGCCGTAACATGTCCAAGCAGGTTAATCAGAATTATATTTTCTTAAATTTCTGGAGGGGGTGGACATCTGATTTTGTTTTAAGGGGACTGGAACAGAAGTTTATGGGCTTTCCTCTCTAGAGATCTTGCTTTTGTTTTTCTACACCAAAGATACCTGCAAAGGCAGTAAGTACGTTTGCTCAACAATCAAGAGGGTGCTAATAGCTATACTAACAACTATTTTAAATAATCAGCTATACCGTCATAGACATATAGAAGGAAAGAGGCCTTCTGGCCCATCAAATTTATACTAATCCCACCTTCCAGCACTTGGTCTGTAACTTTGAATGTTATGACATTTCAAATGCTCATGTACATTTTAAAAAGTTGAGGTTTCCCGCTTCTACTACCCTCCCAGGCAGTGTATTCTAGACTCCCAACACCCTCCTGGGTGAAAAGCTTTTTCCTCAAATCCCCACTAAACCCCTTGCCCTTCAAGTTTAAAAAATTATAACGCCTCAATAATGATCCTTCAACTAAGGGGAGCAGCTGCTTACTATCTACCCTGTAGATGCCCCTCCTAATTTTTATACACCTCGATAGGATCCCCCTCAACCTTCTCTGCTCTAAAGAAAACCACCTGAGCCTAACCAGCCTCTCTTCATAGTTAAAATGCTCCAACCCAGGTGACATCCTGGTAAATTTCCTGTCAGCCACTCAGTGCAGTCACATCCTTCCTATTGGCGAGGTGACCAGAACTACACACAGTACTCCAGCTGTGATGTGGCGTAGCCTAACCAAAGCTTGCTTTTTGTGCCACTCCAGTATAACCTTCCTCCTCTTTTATAATCTATGCCATAACTGATGAGGCAATAGTTCTGTATGCTGCATTAACAACCCTATTAGCCTGTCCTGCTGCATTCAAGGAGCTGTGGACAAGATCCCGCTGTTCCTCTGAACTTCCTGGTATCCCACTATTCACTGAATACTCCCTTGTTTTGTTACTTCTTCCAAAGTGCATCACCTCCTAATTCAATGTTAAAATCGATCTGCCTTCCTGACCAACCCATCTGTATTGTCCTGTAACATAAGACTTTTTTCCTCCCCATTAACCGTGCCACCAACCTTTGTCATCCTCAAACTTACTTATCTTTACCCACCCTAACCCCACATTATCCATATTGTTTATACAATATCACAAGCAACAAGGGACCCAGCACTGATCCCTGTGATATGCCACTGGACACCAACCTCCAGTCATACAAGCAGCCTCTACCACCACCACCTGTCTCCTACAATTAAGCCAACTTGTCAAGTTACCCTGCATCCCATGTGCTTTTACCTTCTTTTATCAATGTCCCATGTGGGACCTTGTCAAATGCTTTGCTGAAATCCTATATAAACTGTCATCTACACTGCCCTCCTACACACTTGGTCCTCTCAAATTCTATCAGATTTATTAGGTATGACCTCCCTCTGACAAAAACCATGCTTACTATCCCCGATCACAATTTGGCTCACTTACACTTGCTAGAAGTGAGATACGTTCACAAACAGAGACCCATTCTCTGTGAACAAAAGGGCTATGTTCAAACATTGCCTCTTTGTTGAATTACCTGAAGTTCTCTGTTCATTTCTCCATACCAGTGCCTTGGCTAATTAGATTCAACTTGCCAACTTATCATCACGACTTTTCTCATGGGCTGCAAATTGTTACGACTGTATGAAATTTGACATTCTTGGGGATTTCCTTGATGAGTAAAGGACATAAGGTTTCACGATATGTCTCTCCTTTCAACAATAAATACACATTGCTTTTGGGGAAGTGATCACTTTGATCTACTGGACCAGTAGGCTGAGAAATGGTAGATGGCGTTTAATTTAGGTACATGCAAGGTGTTGCATTTTTAGTAGGTCAAACCAGGGTGGGACTTGCGCAGTCAATGGTATGGCCCTGGAGAGTATTGTAGAACAAAAGAGATCTAGGGCTACAGTTTCATAGCTCCTTGGAAGTAGGGTCACTGGTAGGCAGGGTGGTGAAGAAGGCTTTCAGTATGCTAGCTTTCCAGAGTCAGAGCATTGAGTATAGGAGTTGTGACACCTTGTTGTAGCTGTACAAGATATTGATAAGGCCACACTACATGGAGTTCTGATTGCCCTACTATAGAAAGGATTTTGTTAAGCTAGAAAGAGCGCAGAAAAGATTTTCTAGGATGCTATCTGACTGGAAGGTTTGAGTTGTAAGGAGAGGCTGGAAAGGCTGGTATGTTTTTCCCTGGAGCATATGGCTCTGACGGGTGACTTTTATAGAAGTCTATAAAATCATGGGAGGCACAGTTAAGGTAAACAATGTTTTCCCCATGGTTGGGGAGTCTAAAACTAGAGGGCATAGGTTTAAGGTGAGAGCGAAGAGATACAAAAGGGTCCAGAAGGG